GGGGAAGAAGTTAGGCGAGACCTGACAAAGTATGGTGGTCCGGTTCTAAATCCTCCCTCTTTTTTTTTTTGATTTTTTTGTCAAACAGTTATACTCTTTGATCATAAATTAAAAATAATATAAATAAATAAATAATAAAAAAATTTTATACGTTTCTCATTATTTATGGTCAAAAAGTGTCATTGCTTGACTAAAAAATCAAAATAGAAAAAGTTTTTTTGGACAGGAGAAAGTATTCATTTATAATATAAATCCAATATAATTAAAATCATCTTAGGATATACTTTAGATATATTCAATCCTTCCCAAAAAGACTTCCTATTTTCATTTTGTTATATATATCCTAAAAAAGTCCCCTCAATCATTCTTTAAAAAATTTAGAGTTATTCACAATTTATTTTTTGCTATCCTCTAATCCATTTTTAACCATACATTTTCACTTTCTTTAATTTTTGTATCAAGTCAAACCAAAATTTTTTTTTGAGACGAATAGATTATGCAATTTTTATAATATATATTTATTTAATTAAAGTAATATTTCTATGATAGAATAAATAAGTATAACAATTTTTAATAATTAATATATGTCAAGGAAATGTAAAAAGATAATAAAAGCAATGACTTATCACTGCAAGACTTGTCACACACTCATCGGATTATCATTCATTGATCGAAATATTTCACGTCAACATATGTCACTTCATTGCTGGTGCTCTAAAAGTGTCCCAAAATGATTGGTACCATAGGTGCACCCAAGCTTTGCACAGATGATTGATATCTATGTTGCACAGATGATTATCATCTGTGTCATCTATCCAAAGCTTGAGTGCACTCATGATAGCAAGTATTGAAGCATGAATGGTCATTTTCCAATACCAAAGAGTTGGGTCAAATGGTTCAATCGCTGCTTGACATAATAAATGGGCCAAGTCTTCTTTTGTCTGATCGCGTGAGTGAAAAAAAAGTTGTGACTTGTGACAAATGCCTGGTCCAAAGCCCGCCAATACAATGGCCTTGTTTGGATACTAGCAGTTGGCTTTTGGCTGTTTATGTTAGCTGATTTGAATGGCTGATTGAGTTAGCTGTTTTGACCGGCTGTTTCTGTTAACAGTTAAATTTTAAGTGTTTGGCAACTTTAGCTGTTTATAGTTAGCTGTTTGTAAATAAAATTACATAAAAGGACATCCCTCCATTTATGGTATATTTTATTTTACAATTTTTTTAAATATCATATCATAAATATATTTTTTTAAAATTAAAAAAATTAAATAAAAAATTATATATATATATATACACACACACACACACATGATATTTATTTTTCATTTTTTTACATGTAAAAATTAAATCTTTACTATATGGAATATTAAATTTTAATTTCATTTAATTCATAATAAATTATAAATATAAATTTTTTTAATGAATTATAAATATAATTTTTTTTAATTTCATTTAATTTTTTCGTATTTAATTTTTTTAACTTTTATTTTTATTTTTTACATATATTATAAAATATCTTTCAACAAAAATGATTTTAAAAAAAATATTTTTCCTAACCGCCAAGTCCAAATGCTACTTACCTTGGCATTTCAGATTTTGGCTTTTCGGATCAAAATGTCAAGTGAAAAAGCCATTAGCCAAACAATGGTTTTTGCAGTTCGCTTGGTCAAAAAAGCCAAAGTCAGTCAAAGATGCCAAAAGCTATCCCAAATGCTGTTTTCCAAACACGACCAATATTAAAGATTAAAAATAATAATTATAACTTATAAGTCTAATATAATATTGTAGGGAGTACTTAATACTCTTTTGGTTCCGAAATAATCGTCCTAGTTTGATGATGTAGTTCACCGAATTCAAAAAACATTGAAAATGAATAAACGGATGATTGAAAAATAAAAAAATGGATGGTTGATTAGAGCACTGGAAATACTTGTGAAGCCCTGGGGCTTCAAACTGGGGCTTCAAACTATCTCTCTCTGCCACGTCAGCTTTAACTTACACCAAAAATTCACTGGAAATGGGTTTGAAGCCCCGAGGCTTCAAACAGGGGCTTCAAACCTTCATTTTTTTACATTTTTAAATATACATCTTCTAAATTTAAATTATTAAATTTTAATTAATTTATTATTTAAATTAATCAAAAGGAGATTAGTACATTAAAAAATTACATTCATTAAAAAAAATATTACATTCATAGAAGAATACATTCATAAAAAAGTTTCATTCATTAAAAAAATATCACATCCATAAAAAAATAACACTACAAAGAAATTACTAATTATTCGAGCGACTAAAACTATCTTCATTGAAATTCGAGTTGTAGTAAAATAATTCATCAAATAAAAAATACAGTCAATAAAAAAAGTATGTTAAATTTAATAAAAAAACAAAACGAAATTACATTAGTAAAAAAAATTTAAACCAAAAAATATTACATTAAATAACAAAATATAGAGTAAAAAAATTATGTTTGTGTATATTTTTTTTAAAGAGAGAGTGGGGATGGGGGGAAGAGCTTTGAAGCCCGTTAAACATTTGAAGTAGACAAAATGAAGCCCGGATGAAGCCCCAGGGGGGTGGTGTTTAACTCCCCCTGGGCTTCAAAAGTAACATAACGCCGGGTGGCGTTATATGTATTATCAGTGCTCTTACTATATTGCCCTCGTTTATCATTTTTTGACTTATATAAATACTCCCTCCGTCCTGGAATATTCGTCCAGTTTTGACTTCTGGAACTGTTCCTCTAAGCATTTTGACTCATCAAATTCTCTCAATGTGTAAGCCTAAATATAGTCATATGTGATCTTGTTTGATTTGTCTTAACATATAGATTGTTAATATATAATTTCTATAATTTTTTAATATACAAATTACAAGATAAAATAGATTAAAGAAGTGTATTGGATAGTGTGTAAAAATGAAAGTGGACAAATACTCTGGGACGGAGGTAGTATGATAAGAGTGTGGATGCAGGTACATTGGGTAGGAGATGTGGAGGAAGTGCAGCTTTTTTATTACTTTATAGAGTCGGAATCAAATCCGAAAGAAGACCCTCTCATTCTTTGGATCTCGGGAGGCCCTGGTTGTTCTCCACTGCGCGCTATCATTCAAGAAATTGGTAATGATGTGAAATCAAGATATTAACACGTACACTATGTTTGGTTCAAAGAATTTGCTGAGAAAATGAAAAGAAAATGAAAAGGAAAACATTTTTTTGTTTCGTTAGAGAAAAAAAAGAAAAGAAAAGTGGGAGGAGAAGAAGAAAAAAAGAAGGGCAAATTGTACTAAGAGAAAGGAAAATCAAATTCCTCATATTTTAGTGAGGAAAATGAAGAATTTTTTTTCTTTTCCTACCAAATTCTTTGAACCAAACATAGTGTTAATGATGTGATTTTATTATAAGTTTGTAACCATTCATGTCATTAATTATATTAGGAATAAGTGGAAACAAATGTTATTATTAATAATTAGAATAAATTCCCAAAATGATCCTTTGTAATAAAGTATTTTCCCAATTCAGTCCTTAATAACTTTTAATTACCTACATGGTCCTCTATAATTGAGATTTTTTTCCCAAGATAGTCCTTTATAAATAATGTTATTCAAATGATGATTAATTAGAAGATATTTTGGTGTTTTGATCATCTAAATTTAAAATATATTCTCGAAACAGTTATTTCTCTACAACTAAATATAAAATTGAAAAATACATTGACTATAAATAATTCATGAACTATTTAAAACATATAAAAAATCTTATAAATTTGAAATCAAATACACATCTTTAATTAGAAAAAACCATTTTGGGAAAGCACTTTTTTATAAATGATAATTTTAAGAATTAATTCTAAATTTAGTGGATAAAAAATACCAAAATACCTTCAATTAATCCTCATTTGAGTAACATTATTTACGAAGGACCATCTTGGAAATAAATCTCAATTATAGAGGACCACGTAGGTAATTACAACTTGTTGAGGACTGATTTGGGAAAACACCTTATTACAAAGGACTATTTTGGGAATTTACTCTAATAATTATTTCCCTTAGTATTTAGCCTCTATTATTAAAAACTACATCTGTTGTCCTTTGTTTATGGGTACCTTTTCCACGAGCAATCTTTTTTTGACCTTCTGTCATCGTACACAACGATCGTCTATCCTTCTTGCCAAAGCCAATTCAGATATCACTGTTGATGTGTTGTTTGTCCATTGGAGTCGCTGTCAACTGCAACTATAGTCTAAAGATGTCGCTTTTGGTTAGAATCATAGGTCACAACCATAGTCGTTATTATTGTGTTGTTTGTCAAGCATCAGAACACGACATAGAGTTGATGTGAGGTTGCACTTTTCACCCTCAATTTAACATCAACATGACAAAAGGTCAAAAAAAAAGAATTATATGTGGAAGGGTTTCCATACAAAGACCACATACATAATATTCGATAATACATGACTAAATATGGCAAACATCATATTATAAAGGACCAGTTATAAAATTTATTCTCAATTCAGTATAAACTATTCTCTTGTATACAATTTTACTAAGAATGCTCTTTTTTATACAATTAAGGTTGCGTTCCGTTCGCCTGATATGATCTGATTTGATTTTTTGAACATCTGATCTGATCTGATTTGGTCTGGTCTGATCTAATTGTAATAAGAATAAGCAACAAGCAAAAAAATAAGTTGAACAGAATACTGCCTAAGTCATATTTCATACATGTCCGGTTTTAGTAATGATAATAAGTTACTCTTACTTTTATTAGTCTAATTTTCAAATTGAAATTGTCCGTTTTGACTCAAGTGTTTGTCAAATTTTTGACTAATATATTTGTCAGATTTTGACCATTTGCAATCAATCAGGATTAATTTTTGACGTCTAATATTAAAAAAATACTGACTCCGTTTTTATGAAATGTCGAAATTTGACAGACTTTATTATTCGTGTGTGCAGGACCATTGCTCATTGAACCAGTGGAGTATGATGGGAGTTTGCCCAGGTTACTGCCATTCCCTTATTCTTGGACAAAGGTGATTAATTAATCTTCTATCCAATTGGATCTTTAATTTGTGCTTATTCCTGTGTCGCCGAGGTTACCGGAATTCAACAAACGTAATACGTACCATTTGAATAAAAATAAATTACAGAAATGTAAAACAAAACACACAAGAGTATTGAACTCATCATTATGTGTGTGTGTGTGTGAGAGACCAAATTTTTTTTAGAAAGTTATCCCTAATGTTTTATGAATATTTCTAAATAACTCATATTTCATTTAAATCACTTTACAAAAATACTCTATTCGTCCTAAAATTAATTTCCCATTTTGACTTTTGCAGTCAAAGTTTTTAAACTTTGACTACATATTACGGAAAAAATATATTGAATTTTCATATAAATTCAGTATCAATAGATTCGTTTTGAAACATAGTTTTGAAATATATTATTATGATAATATATATTCATATAAAAATATAGATATTAATGGTCAAAGTGCTGCATTAGAGACCGTGAAAAGTCAAATGAGAAATTAATTTTAGGACGGAGGGAGTATTTTTTAATGACGGATACGAGAAAGTATAAACGTAAACAATCGATATTCACAGGAAAAATGGAGATTTAACGTGGCTTAGTAAAAGTATGTTATTAATATCCACGAACAAAAAAGAAAAAAATTATTAATTGGATATTTCTCAGCACACTATAGATTTTTAGATTGAGATCTTCTCATAGATTGAGACTTACTCTCACATGTTGAGATTTTCTCTACCACACAGATTCAGCATTCAGGAGTACGTACATATACAAACTATATATAGAGAGAAGAAGAAAGATAATTCTAATTTTAGTCTTAGTCTTAGTCTTAATCTTGATAGATTTAGAAAATAATTTCAAAGCATTTTCTCAAAAGACAGCAAATGCAGAAGAATCAGGTGTGCAAAGATACCAAATTTCCTCCGAGAAAAGACTAGATATACTCATATACCTTAGGTACCATAAGTTCAACATAAGACACAACTGTTTCCAAAATAGACACATAAATTAAAAGTTTCCCTTGAGTTCGTAAACTCCACCTAGAGTCTAGACGGCTCTTCATAGAACCTGAATAGTGTCGTAGATGGATCCACTTTATCATCAAGACTTTCATCACCTCTAATCTCAAATGATGCAACAACAACATAACCAACTACAATTTCTTACTTTGTTCATCAATGACTTCAACGATAACTTCATCATCCAGACAGAGCATGATTGTTGAATGAGCATTCTCATCTTTTGACTAATGAACTCACTGTATCTGAATTTGCTAGCCTACCCTGATTTTCTAGATAGTGGCGCCTACCAGGCCTTGTTATTTTAGGAGGGCGAACATCTTGATGTGCCATTACTTGAAACTATTTCTTCTCATATATTTGCCTATTTTTATGTTCAAAGCAAGAATATATCTCACCCGAAAATAGAACAAGGCTCATCCAATGAAAATGTTAGAATTACAAATAAATAGTTCACAAACTTTACAAACTTGTCTTTTATGAATTTTAAATTAAAATATTTTTTATAAATTGAGTGTATCTTATTTTTAGGAAAATGTTACTCCGTAAAAAAGTAAGTTTGTAAATTTTGTGAACTGTAAATTTAGTGTAATATTTATAAAATATTTTATAAATATTTTTTTATAAATTGAGTGTATCTTATCTCGTTCAAAGCTCAACAAATTTTCAAAATTCCACATAAAAACCTTTTGCCAAATCAATCCAAATTAAAAATGGGCTGACCCAATCTCACACCTGCAAAGCCCTTTTTTCTTCAATCCATGGGCTGCTTAGATTTGAAGATGGCGGTGGCGGCTCTGGAATTGGATGGCAATGGCGTCTCTGGAACTGGACGGCGGTGGCGGCACCTTACTGCGCGGCTGCTTGACGGCAAAGGCTGCCTTCCTTGCTATGATTTTTCCGATATCTGCGCTCCAGATTCGAAAGAAGAAAAAACAGCGGTGATCGAAGAAACCGGCAACGCCTGAGGCTTCTCGACTGCAGCGACTAGCGGTGCTCTGCCACTCTCCTCTGCTACGCGACTTTCCGTCTTTGTGCGTGGCTCCTGCAGATTGACATCCCTTCCCTTCTGCTCACTGAACTCTGCTGCACGAATGTCAATTGCACGGCCACACACGTAAATTTGGATCTGGATCTGCGCAACTGGTTCTTCACACAAGAACCCTAGGTAACAATTTTTTTTGCAATCTGTGTTCGGGTTGAACAACCTCGATACTAGTTTGTTTCAACAGATTTGAGAAAGTATGAACTTAAACAATCAACAATCACCGGGAAGACAAGATATTTTCTAGTGTATAATTTCAATATACAATATTGTGTCTATATAGTCTAGTATGACAACAACTTGTATGTTGTTTGAGTTGGGTCTTTAATAAACAGTCTCTGTACTTTCGAGTAGGGGTAAAGATTGCATACACAACTTTCCCATAATCTACTTTTGTGGGATTCTACATTTCTACTATAGGTTGTTATTGTTGTTGTTAAATGATGCACATTGTAATTAATGAGATTAGTCAGATACTCCTTAATTATAAACAAATTTAATCATGATGATGATCATGGCATGCATATGCAGGTTGCTAGCTTTATTTTTCTGGATTTGCCAGTTGGGACTGGATTTTCGTATGCTACAACTTCAACTGCTCTCCAATCCGACAATTTGTTGACCGGCACCAATGCATATGAATTTCTTCAAAAGGTCTACTATACTCCCTTCAAAAATCAAACGATAAGAATACTTTAATTGAGACGTACAATTAATATTCATACTTCAAGGTATTTAGCACTACCATATAGGGAGTATGGAGTATGAAATTAATGTGTTTTTCTATGGGAATATCTTATTGTGATTTTAAATTTATTTAGTGATCTGATTTGCAGTGGTTAGTAGAAAATCCACAGTTTCTTGCAAATCCTTTCTATGTTGGTGGCGATTCCTATTCTGGCATCACAGTTCCAATCATTACTGAAATGATATCCAAAGGTAAAGTGCTTAAACTTAATTATTATATATGGATGAAATGCTTTATCCTTTATTAAAAGTTAAAATAGAGTTTTATTATACACCTCTTATGTACTCCTTTCCAATTTGTCCCTAAAATCTACTCCTTGAATTAATCGTCGTTTGACTTTACGGAGTATAAAAAGAGTTTGAAAAATTAAAAGTAAGTGGTTCAAATTTGATTAGAGATAAGAAAAAGATTGTAGACGACACATTCTTCACTTTATTAGGAAAGTATAGAAGTGAAACAATTACATTATAACTAACTAAAAAACAAAGTGACACGATTAATTTGGGACATAGAAAGTATGTTAAACTATATATTCTTTTTTTACATACGGAGTATTTATATTAATGATTTGATACTCAAAATATAGATATTTTTACCTCTTGTTTTATAAAACTATTCGTGTAATATTGTGTGTGTGTGTGTATGTGTGTGTGTGTATATATATTATAATTCTATACTAGTTTTAAAATGCGTGCAGGAAACGAGAGAGGAATTAAGCCATTTGTTCAACTTCAGGTCTAAATTTATTCATCATTTGTAGTTTCCTCACATTCGAATTGGGCATTTATAACATCTAAAATATGACAAGTTCTATGTAGACCTAAGAGCATGTGCAGTGGTGAGGCAAACGTGGTATAATTTCAACGAATCAAAAAAGTTCAGTAAAAAAAGAAACAAATTTATTTAGAAAACAATGGAAAACTTGAGAAAAAATAAAAAAAATTATTTAAGTGATTGGTTTAACACATAAGAGTGGTATTTTAAACTTCAATCAAACTTCCATGACAAATAAAAATAAAAAAGGAGTGGCTTTTTCTAATTTTCTCTTGATTTTAATCGTCTATAATCGATTAAACAGGATGTGAGTAACCTTTTTTACAGTTACAAAAATTCAGTTAGATTATAAAAACAAAATAGAAGAGAGTGACATTATGTTTAACATTAATCTTCCATTTATTATTCAGTCGGTCAATTTTTATTCACTTTCTTATCGTATTTTCATTAGTCATTTCATATAAATTTTATTTTTAAGTTTTACTCTTATAATCAAATAAATTGAATTGTAAATAAAATTGAACAAGCCTCGTGAACTAAAATGAGAAGCTAATTTTAGGACGGAGGGAATAGTACTTGTTTTTTTATTTTTATGTTATGAGCTATTTCTCATAAAAATAAATTGGTAGTCAAAGTTTAATACTCTGTGATACAATTTGATAGTAATTGATTTTTTTGAATAACAAAGGTTTCATCCCTATTTATATGGATTACAAGAGAGAATCTTGATCATAGTAGAATGACAATTATAATAATAATAGAACAAAGAAAATAATCAAATAATAACAATATTGTTTCTTAGTATCCTCGCAAGCTGTTCAACGGTGTCAAGGGGCAGTTTGGAGCATAAGTGCTGGAATAGAGCTGGCGGAAGTGGTTTCGTGTGAATGTTTGCTAACTGCTCACAGGAAAGAACATGATGATTAATCATGGTGCATGACATGGCTTCATCTTGCACAAAATGAGAGTATGAATCAACATGCTTCATATGGTCTTGGCGGTTTGGAGTCTTGGTCACACAAATAGTAGATTCATTGTCGTAGTACAGACGAGGTTTTGATGGAAGGATGCCTAGAGCATCAATAATGTACCGTATCCACATAACTTCTAACACACCTTCAGCCATGACACGATATTCAGCCTTAGTAGAAGATTTGAAGACACGAGTCTGTTTTTTCGTGCACCAAGATATGAGATTGGAGCCAAGCATGGCCATTTAAACCGTAGTAGATTTTTTATTATCTTTGTCAGAATAAGTAGAGATGAAACCTCCTCTTTCGAAAAAGAAGACCAAGGTGTAAAGTATCTTTTACGCATCAGAGAATGCGCTACAAGGCATGATAATTTTGTTTAGTCAGGTTGTGCATAGTCTGAGACACCCGATTAACATCATACTGTATAATAATGTAGACCACCAACAATGTTGCGGTAAAAAGTAGGATCCCTAAATGGTGAGGCGCGGCGAGACCATGGGTCGGGCCGCCATAGAATAACAACAAGATTGCATTCGGACATTCTTGCCCGTCGGAGAAGATCAACTGCGTACTTAGTTTGATGGGGGAGAATAGATTCATTGGTGCACTTCATCACCGTTGTGTCCTCCGCCACACTGCCCGCCATGTGCTGCCGCCGGACAGTTGGTTTGCCAGTGTTGGGCCGGAGGGGAGGGGGGCTCTTTTAGAGCGGAACGGGCCTCCAAAAACGTTGGGAATGGCACTTGATACTGGAGAATTCTCCTGTGAGCAGAGATTGTGAGGGAGGCCACGAAGAAAGTGAACAAGGGCGTGCTCAGTGATCGGGGCATCCACACCGTCCTAGGGATCTGCTAAATTTTTGAGTTTTTGACACTAATCCGTCATTTTTTTGGTGCCTTTGACTGTATTCTGGAAGCGTTGCTCGAGTTGCATGGCGTGAGCAAGCTTGTTGTCATGGAAGAATTGATGGATGCCGTTCCGTAAATGTGTAGCAATGTAATATGAAGTGATTACGAGATCAGAAACTTTGTCATAGATTGTGTAAATAATCCACCCTTGCAATATAGCTTTTAATTGAATCCATTCTACATCATCTTTATCGGATGGTTTCGTTTCTCCTGTGATAAAGCCGTGTAGATTGAATGGTCAGACAAGTGGAAGAAAAAGTTTGCTTCATTTTTTATAGTTTGGTTCAAAAATACTGAGTTGAACAAGGACATGATGTTGGAGATTGTGGTGAAAGCAAGATGGAGAGAATTTGGAGTAGTAGAGGTAGAGGGTTTAGATATAGAGGAGAGGAGAGTTTTGGCCATGGCTGCCGTGAAGCTGACGAACGGCGCCGGAGGAGGAGGCCGACAGCAAGGAGAGAAGAAAGGTTAGGGTTTTGCCTATAATGGCTCCGATTCTATGAAGAATGGAATAATTCAATAACATTTCCAAGAGCGTGTAGAAGGGGTATATGTACAATGGTTCCTAACTATTCCGAATTATGGTAAGAATATACAAAAGGTAGTAACCATAATATAGAATATAGAAACCTATAAAAAAAGAAACATTAATAGTTAAATATATTTGCTATATTTAACAAGAACAATAACAATCACAAATGATCAATGCAAGTTACGTCAATCATACTTGAGAATTGGCATTGGTACCTCATTGTTTCCTATAAATTTTTGTACGTTCTCTATTTTAGGAGTCCAAATTCTGATTACTTGCTAGCCCTTATATCCTTGTTAGTTTTCATAGCCTTATCACTCTCTGTAATAACAATTGAACTCGGTGTCTCTAACCGGTCCCTGATAGTTAGTCTAATACGAAGTATAATCTAGCTAATTTACACCATCGACCGCAAAAAGTTTAATGTTTCTCATATATACTCTCACACAGACATACAGACATACTAATAATGAAGTATATGTGATTATTGCAGGGATACATACTTGGTAATCCCGTAACATCTCCAGCTGACTTCAACAACAGAATACCATTTGCTCATAGAATGGCACTCATCTCTGACGACTTATACCAAGTGCGTACGTGCAGTGGGTTTTGATTTTCTTTTCAATTATTGGATTGGTAATATAATATTAACAGCTCTGATCTTATTATTACGAAGTAGAAAAATATTTAATGATGAGTTGGTACTTAGTTTAGAAAATATGCACCATATATATGTATATCAAAATTAGTAATATAATTGCCCTTATTCTACGTATACCTCAAACAGGAGTTAAAAAGAGATTGCAAAGGAGAGTATGTGGACACTGATCTTACCAATTTACTATGTCAGCAACATCTGCAAACCTATAATCAGGTCTGAGGTTGCATATATGCATATATGAAAATATTTAAATTAAATTGATTCAACTACTCAGTAATTAATTTCAGCATCACATATGCTTTTCTAATTAATTAATAAGTTGCGTTTATGCATGATTTTACAGACTATGTAACTAATAACATGCGCATTTGCATTGCAGTCGATTGAGGGAATATATCCTCCCAATATTTTGGAGCCTATTTGTGTGACTAGTGACGATGATGATTCTTTTTCTTCGATTGAAGCATCATCATCAAGACCGTTTATTCCAATTTTACCCTCAGGCCAGCATACAAGGTATTTGTTGGACAAGTTCTACAAGCAAAAACGACGACTCAAGAATCCCGACTTGCTTCCTGGATTGAAATGTCGGGTACACATGTACATAATAAGCATTTATTCACACACATACTTGGGAATTGTGTAAATAAATGTTCAATCGATCTATTTGCATAGCCATTTAGTCACATATAGTATTAAAGATCATGAGGTGGGTGATGCTCGGCCATTACATGCATGTCACGTACTTACGTTGTAGGATGATTGGAACAAACTGTCTGAAGATTGGGCCAACGACGATCGTTCTCGAGAGGCCCTTCATGTCCGTAAGGTAAAGAATTAAAAATGGATGCTTAAATAATGAAATACCGTCACAATTTCATTATAATTACCAAATATATATGCATGCATGGGGTCAGAAATTAATGTCGTGCAGGGGACGAAGGGAAAATGGGAACATTGTACCTCAAACTTACCCTTCACGCATGTTGTCCAAAATGTCACGCCGTATCACGTGAGGCTGAGCAGAATGGGTTACAGGTCTCTTGTCTATAGGTAATTAATTAATTAATTGATTGTTAACTAACTGAGGATATATAATTAATTAATACTCCTTCACCACTTTTGTTTCAAGGCCCCAAGCAACAACATCAATGTTTTCTTTTTTACTTTCTTTGTGTTTTTGAGATTGTACGTATGTATGAAGTGTCATGTAGTATTAGGTGGTGAAATATAATGCATGCATGCATGTGCAGCGGTGATCATGATATGCTCATTCCATATTTGTCAACTCATGCATGGATAAAGTCGTTAAATTATTCTGTGATCGACAATTGGAGGCCATGGATGGTGGAAGGACAAGTTGCAGGGTATGTATATATTCCCTCCATCCCAAAAAATCTTTTACAGTCAGACTTTTTTTTGTTTATTAAAGTGCTAAACCTTTGACTATTACGGAGTAATAAATACTTCTGTCCAACAATAAAGTTCTCGTTCACTATTCATGGGGTCAAATTTTATTAACTTTGTTGCCCCTATTTTCATGGCTTATTTGATAAAATAAGATAGTCATGTCACCTCTACTTTTGTAGATCTTTTCATGTAGTTTTTAAATATATAATTTTTATTATTTTATTCCATACCATTTTTCATATAGAATAATTTGAAAATAATTTCAGTCAAACATCGTAACGTGCAACGAGAACTTTATTTATGGATTGAAGGAATATAGTTTTAAGTAATTTTTTTGTTAAATCTGAAGTATCAAAATTTTAACAAAGTGAACCCATCCAATTATATTAAATTTATTTTATACCAAAATACACATTTGTCATAATTTGTGATCAAAGTGTCTAGTACTCTAGTTGTTTGTCCAAAAAAGTTACACGCACTCTATGAAATTATATATGTGTAAGCACACTAAATGTAATCTTCCTCTTGCATACGCTACATTCTGTAGGTACACAACGACATATGCCAATCAAATGACATTTGCAACCGTCAAGGTACATTTTGCACAATTGTCTCTTTTTAAGAGTATAAGAACATATCTTGGGCCTATTATCACTGCCACACAGTTTTAAAAAATTACAGACGAATTTTCACATTCAATATTTGAAAAAACAACTCGTCTGCACTTGAGGGGACGTGTTAAAATCTAAAACATGGCCTATGCCTACAACCACAAGTTTGAGCTTTTGGTTGAATTGGTCTTTTGGCATGACTTCTATAATCTACCCTCTCTCTAAAAATCTTGTTCCCATTTGACTTCTTGGTAAAAATTTATAAACTACGACGTCAATATGATAAAGAAATACATTGTATTATGATACGAATGTCATATCCATAGGTTTCCTTTTAAATGTATTTTTAAAATATTGAATTTGTATGAAATATATCCATGTATAAATATAGATCATATTAATGGTCAAAGTTTTATATTGGTTGCCGTTAAAAGTTACGGAGTAAGTAATATTATTTCTGAAGAGAGTATAGTAGTACACAACACATACACACACACACAAAGACATATATATATATATACATACATACACACACACACACACACACACACACACACACACACACACACATATATATCATAAAAATAAATAGGTCTTAGTTTTTTTAATTCAGTTTTTTCATTTCTCAATTTTGACAAGATTATTTACAAAATTTTCTCTCGCCATTTATGAATATTTCCAATTGATCCATCCATCATTTAAGTCACTTTACTTTCATTAAAGAATATTTGACTTATAAGCAGTTTATAAATAAAAAACTGCATATCAGCATTAAGTCAATTAGTGCCAGCACAGAGAAACATTCCTATATAAGATTTTACATGCATCCATCTAATAATTTGAATGCGCGTGTGTACAGGGAGGAGGTCATACGGCACCGGAATATCGTCCTTCAGAATGTTTGGAGATGTTCAAAAGATGGATTTCTAAGAAACATTTATAATCAATTAGCAGCAGATTGCACCGCACACAAATTAAATAAGGTTTGAAACATTGATGTTCGACCATTAATGTTCGTGTTAACGACTGCTTTGAACTTTGTAAAAACTTGATTATCTTATAAGTGAGTGGTGGTAAAGTTCAATCTCGTAACTTCTTGGTTAATAATATTCTCATGATAGGATTTATCATGTGGTAGGGACTATAGACAAAGCCATAGGACACTTGAGTTGAGCTTTAATTAAAATCATGTTTTTTTTGGATTGAATTTTAGAGTTGGATGTTGGAAATAATTAGAGCAAGTTGAAAGAAATTGATAGGAGTTGTAAAAAAAGGGACATGAGTGGGAAAATCTTGGAAGAATTTTAGTGTTTGAAAGTTATTCAAAATCATTCAAATAAAAATGCAAGAAAAGTCTAATTTTAGATATAAAAAAAAGGACTCATCATTTTCAGTGTTTGAGGTGTCATGCTATAAATTTGAATATATATTATTTTTTTATATTAATCATAAGAACAGGGTGTAAAAGATTGAAATCAAGCTGAATACAAGCATGGGTCAATTCAAATGTTATAAGTGAAATTTGCACTAAATAGGAATGAAACATAATGACTTTCTTAATTTAGGATTTAAACTTTTTTATTTCCTAAATAAGACTTAATAATGTCTTAGTGGAGGAATAATGTCCAGTAATGATGGACATTTAGTTGAATAATGACTATTTGATAATGACCAAAGGTCCTACATTGGAAAATAAAAACATATGGTCCTATATTAGGAAAGTCATTATGTTTTATTCCTATTTAGGTAAATTACTCATGTTATAAATCCATTATTCTCTCTCTGTGTGTGTGTCTATATATGCAGGCCATGGGAAGTTGGGAACCCTTTCAACTATTAGGCCTATTGTACAGGCCGGCTGGGGTTTAGAGAATTTTCTTAATATAACGTATTTGACCGGCCGACTCTTAGAGCAAGTCCACTTATAATACTTGAGTACTCGTAATATTATTTTGTGAAAAAACTTGTGATAATTTATCGAAAGAACTAGTTTTAGTGTCTTTCGGGAAAAAAGTTGTGATTTTTCAGAAAATATTTAGTGTCGTATCAGCGAAAATATTACTCCCTCCGTCCCCAATTTGATTACAATTTTTTTTTCTCTCTCCTCTCGATAACTTTTGTTTGTTTACACGATTTCATCAAGTATTTGATAAAATAAAATATTCTTGTCACCTCTTATTTTGTAGAACTTTTGACGTAGTTTTTTAATATGTAATTTTTATAACTTATTGATATACCAATTTGTAAATAAAATGATTTCAAAAAGTAGGAAATTTTACTCCGTAACCCGCAATTTGTAATCAAATTGGGGACGGAGGGAGTAACAAAAAAAATTGTGTGGCGCATATATTCACTGATGGTTCATCCTAATTATTTCCTTGAGGCCCCGTTTGGTACACGGAATTCAAACTATGGAATTGGAATTGAGAACTTCAATTCCATTTCTCATGTTTGGTAGCACAAAAATTATGTGGATTTGGAATTGGTAGTGCAAAAAATGAATTGGAATTGGTGAATTCAATTCTATGGAATTGAATCTCATGGAATTTTAATTCCAATTCAATTCTAATTCTATCAATTCCATGTACCAAACGGACCCTGAACGTAAAAAATGGGAGCACCACTTTCAAAATTTTTCATATGATATTGTATGCTCCATCCCAAATTAATTTAAGTGGTTGGGATAAAGGCACAACCAATGTAGGACAGAGGCCCATGGCGAGAAAGTGCTCCCAGGCGGCCCATGAAGCCCTCGCCAGGCGGGTGTCTCTCAAGCTCTGACCCGACCAATCTTCGGGACCGAGCGCGTCTAGACCCGACGGACCCTCGGGGTCGGGGAAGGCTTGGGGAGATCATCACTACACATTCACCCAAATTCGCTCGGGGTCGGGCCATCAACTCGGTGACCAACCGCTAATTATGACGACCGTATGATCATTTAATGCGGAGGCGACGTCTGACGCATACACCAGCCGACGGCAACTGCGGCACAGAGAGAGAGAGAGAGATTTTAACATATATTACAAAAAATGTATAGAATAAAAGAAATCATTCTCTTATCATATCAAAAATTTTCCTATTAAACCCCCTAAAAATGGAAATAAAAGAAACCATTCTTTTACCGTGTCAGTAATTTTAACATATAATACAAAAAGTGTGTAGAATGACAATACTATATTATATTGTCACAATGAAAAATTTTATTTTAAAGATAAAAGAATGTCACATTTATTTTGAATTGCGTGCTATGTTTTGTTTTTATTTAAATAATGCGAGGTGCTTTTCTTATTTTTCTTTTGATGCATCAATTCCAAAGTAAGATTTTAATTTCAAGAGAGAGAATATTTGAGTAATCAATGCCCAGGCGAGGTGGCATGTTAAGGCGAACCGTCAATGCCGTGATGCACCAAACATTATATGTAGTGGTGAATTTAGAAAGTGGCGGTAGTGAAGACAAATTTAATTTATTAAATTGAATTTATTCGAATTCTAATAACTAAAATCAATACAATATATTTATAAAATTGCATATTTTTATTGCTTTTTTAGTAGTGCACTACAAATAAAATGTGTTTCTATTGAATCAAGGTTTAAAATTCTCCAAAAAAAGATACGCATTTTCACGGTTTCGGTACGTTTAACAAAAAATTGAAAATTTATAACCAAAAGATACGAAAAGAACTAAAGAAAGATATACAACAAATGAAACTATAATTTTCTGGAGCTAAAATTCATATATTTGATAATAAAGAGACTAAAAATATAGAGATATGTTTGTACAAAATAAAAAAAATGAATTATTTTAAGAAAAATGTTTCGGGTACACAAAAAGATGTACATCGCAATTTCCCTACCATACAAATCTAGGTGTGGATAAAAAAATTAAAAAGTGGGTAAAAAAGATGTAGAATTAAGCACTTTGTATTATAAAAAGTATATTCTACTTTGTATCCAAATGCATGCATACACCAACATTTAATAGTACTCTGATAGTTTACAATGACACAAAATATAAATACAAATTTTTTTGATCGAACTAACATTTTATGCCAAAGCAAATCGTTAAAATGCTAATACATCTCTTTGGGCTATAACTTGACATATATTTTCGGTGTAATTATCCTAACATGGTTAAAAGTTTTTGGTGTACAACTTGATATACATATTTTTTTATGAGAAAAGTGACAATGTTGTACAAATGGTGAAAGTGTACGGTGTACCCTTTTGGGGCAAAAAAAAAAAAACAAGACGACCACAATTTGGTAGGTACAAGGGGTGAATCAAACAGGGGAGCTGTGAGCAGGATTGTTCACGTTTAGGTCTGGACCGAAAAAATCGATCGAACTGGACCGTTCGGTCCAAACCGAACTCGGACTGAATGGATTTCGGGTCGATCTTTGGTCCAAAAAATTTAGGAGTTCGGGTTTCGGTCCGGTCTGGTCCAAACCCGACATGATTTAGGTCCGTACCGATTGGACTGATTCGACCTAATAAACCCTATTGGATCTAAAAGTCCTAAATACGTAAATTCTACTTTTTAAGTTCCGTAATACACTTTGATGCTTTACTTGAATATATATTTAAACTTATTTAATCAAAAAATTTTAGTTAAGAAATTTAAAAAAAAAGTTCAAAAAAAAATTTGCATTAATTTTTATTATTTTACATAGAAGTAGTCCATGTTGTGTATCTATTTTTAGGTTGTCTATTTTTTTTCTTATTTGTACGCTGCAAAATAAAAAGCCTCAAATATTTGTTATTTGAAAGACAAACCATCAAAACCTAAAATATATTTTATTGAAAAAAATAATTTAAAAAATACATTTTAATTCAGTCTTATAGGTCCAGACTTGTTCAGTCATAAGTATTTTGGTCCGGTCCGGTCCAAACCCAAATAGATTTAGGTCCGGTCTTCGGTCCGTGATTTCAATCAATTCGGTCTTTGGTCGTTTCGGCTTGATCTGGTCTTGGACCGATGAACACCCCTAGCTGTGAGGCTGTCTACCATAATACTCCCAAGGGAGATGCTAGGGATACACCTTCAGTGGTATTTCTTTTTTATTTTACATTCCAATATATATAGTATTGAAGAAAGTAGTGTACATTTGGGGTACACAAGAGTACCCCTAACATTTTTCTACTCCCAAACACCAACTACCCTTCAAGTTTCATCTTTCTTGGTTGTGTCTTTTTTCGCGATCTTCAAGTTATGTTTGGTTGAAGGAATTTAGAAGAAATTCACTTTTCTTTTTTACCTTTATAATCAAATAAGAAAAATATTTTCCTTATCATTTTCTTTTCTTTTTCTTTCAAATTCCTTGAACCAAACACAGAGTCAATGTACTACTTTGACTATTATTATTTCTACTTATATATACTCCTCCCGTCCTAAATCGTTCTTTTCGTTTCTATTTACAATGTTTGACCGATTTTATTTTTAATTCAATTTATTTGATTGCATCTGTAAAAATAAAAAATAAAATTTATATTTTTAAAAACTACATCAACAGTTGGAGGTGACGAGACTATTTTTTAATTAAATAGCTCACGAAAATGGGTAAAGAAAGTGATTAAAGTTTAACGGTATAAATAGTAACTGAGAATGACACTTAAGGACGGAGGAATTACAATTTTGCATTTGAAAAAATACGATATTTTTTTAATTATATTTCAAAATGAATTTATTATATTTAATATACTCGGGTATATCACATCTCAATTTTTTTTTTCAATATTTTAAGGTTAAAAAAAAAGTCAAATGCGCCACTGAAAATATATAGAGGGAGTGAAGGAGTGGGGGAACCCAATGAATGAATTCAACAACAGTGCAAGATCGGATAGATAGAAATGAGGAGGGCCGCTGTCGTCTTCTTCCTAATAATTCAAATTACTGTTCCGATTCTGTTCGCCGCCGCCGAAGCCGCTTCTGGTTCGCCGGTGAAGTTTCTTCCGGGCTTCGATGGCGGCCCTCTTCCGTTTCAACTCCAAACCGGGTTTGTCCTCATTTAATCTCTTTATGCTTCTATATAAACATATATTTATGCTTAATTCACATTTTCTTTTCGTTTTGCTCTGAAATAAAGGCCACTTTATTTCAAAATGTCCCAAAAAAAAAATTACTCCGGTACTTTCTTAGGGTCTGTTTGTTTTCTGGGAAAATTAATGTTCTAAAAGAATTTAATTCATTTTTCCTACAATTGGTAAAATAAGTGCTAGGAAAAAACTTTTCCTGGAAAAATTTAATTTTCTTTCAAAGATAGGAAAATACGAGGGATTCATTTTCTGGGAAGTAATTACTACTCCGTATTATTTTTTATTCAATTATATTTATATGTTATTTCATCATTTACTTTTATTTTTATCTTTTTGTTTTTAAATTATTTATTTTACTTATGTATATTAATATCATTTTATTTATATTTCGTTTTTTATTTCATTTGCTTAGCAATTACGGAGTATTTATTACTTATCTTTATTATTTTTTGACTGTGCATTAGTGTTTGGACATATACTCCGTAATTGAACAACTAATCTTTGATATATTAAGCTATTTGTACCTCAAGTTGTGCACCTTCATTATGCGAATTTTAGTGCAAAGTTTTGACTACATGATACTATTTTTATTTTCAACAAATAATGAAAGATATTTTTTATTGATAGTTATTATTCTCTAAAAATATTTTTTCAGAAAAATATTCTCTACAAAATCGCTATTTAATCTCATCTTTTTTTTTTGTCAAACTCTAGGAGTCTAGGGTATTTGGGGAAAGAAGAAGTTAGGTGAGTCGTGACAAAGTGTGTTGCTATTTGGTTTGGTTGATTGATGACATTCTTTGATCGTGAATTATGAAAAAAGTATATTTAGTTATAATATAAATTGAATAAAATTGAATTTAATTTAAAATATAGCTTTGAAATACTCTGTATCAAGTTTTTATACCCCTTTCTCCTAAAATGTTCTTCTTAGTTATTATTCACACGGTTAAACATAATCACTTTTTTTACCTATTTTCTTTAGTTATTTGATAAAATAATATAGTCTTGTCATTTCTTCGTTTGTAAAACTTTTAATGTAGTTTTTAAATATATATATTTTATTTTTTTAATTTTATACCTACAATCAAATAAATTTAATTAAAAATAAAGTCGTTCAAACCTCGTAAACAGAAACGGAAAGAATATATTAGGACGGAGGGAGTGATATTTAATTATTTTAAAATATATTTATTTTGGGGTCAAAGGGTGTCACATTTTGACTAAAAAAATCAAACTATGACAATCTTTTCAGGACGAAGGAATATTATATTCCGTATTTAATTATAATAAAAATTTAATAAAAATTGAATTCATCTTAGAATATAATTTTAATATACTTCATCCGTCTAAAAAAACTCCTTGTTTTCTTTTTACACCGCCATAAAAAATCTCCTCTATCATTTTTTGAAAAATTTTGAGTGACTGACAATTCTTCCCTTCTTCATTTCACTCTCAATGATACATTTATTTAATTTATATAATATTTTTGGGAGAAAATGATCATCAAATTTTTATAACATTTATTTATCTAAGTTATAATCCGTATATAATTTGTGGAAAAAAGTGTGAAAGTTAGCCAAAAAAAAAGTAAAACATACGGAGTAAAGGTTTTTCTAATACCAATGAGTTTGTTCAATCGCTGCCTGGCATAATAAATGGGCCACGTCTTTTGGCTAACCGCCTGAGTGAAAAAAAGTTGTGACCAGTGCCGGGTCCAAGGCCGCCTAGACAATATTAAAGATAAAAAAGAGCAAATTTCCAAAATAGTCCTTTGTAATAAGGTGTTTTCCCAATTCAGTCCTCAATAAGTTCTAATTACCTACATGTTCCTTTATAATTAAAATTTATTCCCAAGATAGTCCTTCAGAAAATAATGTTACTCAAATGATGATTAATTGGGAGATATTTTGGTATTTTCATCATCCAAATTTAAAATATATTCTCGAAACAGTTATTTTTGTACAACTAAATGTAAAATTGAAAAAATACATTAATTATAAATAATTCATGAATTATTTAAAACTTATAAAAAAATCTTTTAAATTTCAAATCAAATACACATCTTTAATTAGAAAAAACCATTTTGGGAAAACACTTTATTATAAATGATCATTTTAAGAATTAATTCTAAATTTAGGAGATAAAAGTACCAAAATACCCTCAATTAATCCTAATTTGAGTAACATTATTTACGAAGGACCATCTTGAGAATAAATCTCAACTATAGAAGACCACGTAGGTAATTAAAACTTATTGAGGACTGATTTGGGATAACACCTTATTACAAAGGACTATTTTGGAAATTAACTCGATAAAAAAAGATTAGGGATAAGTCTAATACTCCTTTTGTTCCAAAAAGATTGTTACAATTTGATTTTTTTGATCAAATTGTGACATTTTATAACTATGAATTAAATATAATTTAAATAATTTAACATTATAAAAAATTGATAGTACAAAATTATATTTTAAGTTAAATTTAATTTTACTAAATTTACATTATAGCTAAATATATTTTTTCCCTTAATTTATGGTCAAAGTGTTGCATAGTTTGACCAAAAAAGTCAAACTGTTGCAATCGTTTTAGGACATGGAGAGTGTGATACTGTACGAAGTACTTCATACTCTTTGAGTTCCGAAATAATCGTGTTAGACACTATAGTAATATTCCTAGTTATGGTAGAATTGTTTTATAGTTAGTTACCAACTTACCATATTAGAAGAATCCTAATTGTGTTAGGATCTCTAGCTATATATACCCTCATGTATTCACCTCTATTGCTTAAGTAAAATCCATGGTTTCATAGAATTCAACATGATATCGGAGCTAAAAGATCCGCTCTTCTTTTTTGTTCATTAACGCAAGAAAAAAAATCCCCTGTGGCTAGGGTTTCTGCCCTCTGCCGATTCCTCCTGCTCTTCCACCGAAGCTTTCTCCTATCCATCACCATGTCCTTGCCGTCCACCGATCCTATGGATCGACTCCCTACTGGTCTCAAGTTGTTCGTCCGGAATCTTGATACAGCACAAGGGAGAGCCACACCCTAAAAGCTAGCTGATAAGGTGGGAGAACCCTTGGCTATATAAACCCATCACCAAGTTCCCCATATAACCGGTGTGGGACAATGAAATCAGTCCGTATCATTCGACCCCCCATAAGGCCCAACGTCCTCGTTGGTCACGGCTACGTTGGTCACGGCCACGTTGGTCACGGCTGGTTTCACCAGGCCACCACTCCGTAGGCCACCACTCCGAGTTGGCTCTGATACCATTGATACAGCACAAGGGAGAGCCACACCCTAAAAGCTAGCTG